CGTTCTCGCGTTCACGCCCCCCTTACGCTAGCAGACAGGTGCGTGCACCGGCCTAGGGCTTGCTATGCGTCGGGGCTTCATACAACCACTGAATTTCTGCACATAATACACAACTTCTACCGATCGTGCCTTTTATCTTCATATGCGGAACTGGGCGTCATAATTTTAGTCTTCTGAACACACCCACGGCTTAGACCCCCTGCAAGTTAATTGCTCAATGGCCGGCGTGCGGGTTGTGACCTGCAGAAATGACATCATGCTTGCTAGAGGTTAGCGTGATTATCGCTCGGCCATTTGACTCGCCGCCGCTGGCGTTAGAGGTGTCCTCCTGGGCGTTCCCCGAGTGAAAATGAATTTGGCCAAACTGAGCCTCAGAACCGAACATGGATTGAGGTAATCGCACAGTCTGAGGAGGGGGGCGTAAACAATGACTCACGCAACGCGTGGCTCGCGCAATAGTCACCACTAGTACGGATTTCGGTCTCTACAAACTTGAATTTGAAGCTAGATCTCGTCGAATGAACCGTGACTAAAGAATGTGCGCAATTTCTCCGGACTGCTGCCGCGTGTTCGGCACCTCGCGTCCCGTACGTAGAATCTGACTCTGATTAGTCTTCAGAATAAGGTTAGCGTTATGGTTACCCAAACCTAATCGTTAAATTTGAGACCCGTTAGGCGTTCTTCGACACAACTTATCATACTGCACTAAATTAGCGTTGCACGTGTGGTCCGTCGGATGGTGAATAAGTGCCATTCGATCGCCTACGATGTCTAGACCCAGTACTTTACTAAGTATGAGTAGATAATTTGTTGAAAACCAACGCCCAAACTCCTGAGAAGCCTAACTGATAGTTATAGTATGTTGTAATCATTCTTTTATATAACACGCACGCATATTATTAATTTTAGTCGAGCGCGAACAGTTAAAAACCAGCTCGGACTAGATGGCTCACAATATAAGTTCGTTGTCTTCGCGCAAAGTCCAACAGTTGCGCAGGCAAAATTAATCTTTAGATATGCATTTTCTTATCTCTAATAGGTGAATAAGAAATATAAGGTTTTTCAGTACGAGTGCTTAATTCAAGGTCGACAAAAACGACTAAATCTGTTTTTGACACCGTTATTTCTGCTACTGGCCATATATGACAGTCGATCGACATAGAATAATAGGCACGAAATTGAAAATATTGACAGCATAACGTGGAATCTCACGGATTTTATTCAACGCATTCCTTCCTTACCGCTCCAGTATCTAAAGTTCTTTCTAACTTCGAGGGAGTATGTGCTCTTAAAGTTGAACTCCGCCGTTGTCGTGGAACAGAATTTTCAAATTAGACTTGAGTTGGACCATTATTTTTTGTGGGCCCTTAAGCTCTTAGGGAATAAAAAATCATCTCAGCTTCCTAACCAGGCCTGAATGCAGGCTCGTCATTAAGGCCAAGTAGTAATGTCTATTATCACTGTCACAGGGGTCGTGTAAAAGGTGTACGATATTCATTTCAGAGAGCCATTATTCCTGTTCTGGGTGCTTGATAGTTGTAGTCCAAGTGGAATGCGGTCTCCTGATCTCCAAAAATGGGAGACCTACCCGATTTCACTGAAAACCTGTGAATAAATTACTTTCC